CTCTCTCTCTCTCTCTGCATGTCTGTATGTGTGTGTGTGTGTGTGTGTGTGTGTGTGTATGTATGCTCCCCGGTTTATTACAATCGATGGCTGGATTTAACTGCTCTCCCTATAGGAATTGCGCCAGTGCCTCAGGTTCCAATTTTTCACTGCAGCTGGTAGTTCTGCTGAAATCTGGACCTTCAGAGCAACCTGGTCACTTCCCCAAATATTGCGAGACAAAGTGCAGATACTTAAAACAGGGGAACCTGCTCTTTTTTATGCCCCTTGGAAGTCTTTGAGGGACCTACATTACATAAATGCAGAAGTTAAACAGCCAAGATGCAACCTTACTTAAGGCCTTACTAGGTAAGCATCAGTCCCCCATCTAACAAGAACAGTCCAAGATTATGCAGGAAACGTATAGGAGTTCTTCATAAGCATGTAACCTGTGTGCACGAGCTCACCAATAACCTCTCAGATAATTAGTTACAGGCAAGTTCCTCCTGATTAATTTTTATTAGCTTTATATGTTCAGATGACAGGTTTCTTAGACCATCATATTTCTTTTAAGGTCAAGAAGACCCGGAGGAGTCTTTTAAGAAGACCTGGAGGAGCTCCCTGATGGAGTTTGCTCTCCCCAGTACTTTTTCCATCTCTCTTTTTTACCTGTTGGGAGGGGAAGAAGCTTGAAAAGGCCTACATTTTGGTTTGAATGCAGTGAGGGGCTGGGTGAAAATAAGCAAACCATGGTTCAGTCCAAACAAACAAGACAGAGGCCTCAGTGATCAGTAGGAAATCTACTTAAGGAATTCAGGGTGCAACCTGTGCTGCTGCCGCCCCCGAAAGATCCGGTATGTGGATCCGGTGGTCCTAGGATCACCGCTTCTTTTGGAAAGTCGAGGGGAAGCAATGGTACTCACTCTTGGGGAAGGATTAGATTGTCATTCAAACGGTGAAACGTCGTATGCGGGGCTTTCCTTGAAAAGCGCTGGAGAAATTTTCAGACGGTGCAAAACATGGCAGTGGGTTTCCATCAGAAACAGCTTTACTGGTTTTGAGTTTGCTTTGAGGCGCAAGTCAAATGCAGCTTCTGACTTCCAACGAGGGCCCGCTTCCCCTATGGCTCTGCTGTGCTGAATTCCCCATTCGCGGCAGGGACAAGACGTGGCCTTTCAGAGTGTCTCCTTCACCACGTCTAAGCCTCTTCTTCAGCTCCTTGTTTCTATGGGGCAGGCTCATTTTCTGCTCCTGGTTATTTGTGGTCTTATGAGATGTTTGCTGCATTTTATTGTATGTCTGTCAGTGTGCCCAGTGGGCAGCGGGTGCCCTGGACACATTTAGCAAGCCACGTGGGTGGAAGAGAAGGTGTGTATACAGAATATAATTTGTTTGGTGGCCTTTACAGCGAATCCCTGTGGCCCATTGAGGCAAGAGATGCTGCCATTGCCAACCACTGCTTCACCTGCGCCATCAACCGTGTGGGGACGGTAAGGCTCTCATTTCTCCTTGGCCGAGGATTGGGGCTCGGAAACTGTCACTTTAAAGAAAATAGTCTTTGCAACATTATAGTATTGCATAAAGTATGTAATTCCCCCATTGAGGAGCGTGGGGGAGAGGGGCTCATGCCAGGAATCAACCTTAAGCCAGTCTTAAGCGCTTTGTTAACAATATTGTGGTTAAAAGTCTATTTCTGTAAAACAGTCCTGTGCTAAATACAGAGCAGTGCACATGAAACATAGTTAAATTTAAGAAACGAAAGCAAAATTCTATAGGTGAAAAATATTTAATAAAGGCTTGATTCAGAATAGGTAGAGACATCCGTGTGTATGCTTAAGTCTGTAAGGCGTGCATGTGGGGAACATTCACAGTCCCTTTGTGCTTCTTCCCAGGCGCATCATTCTCACCATTTCTTGGGGGGTGGGGAGGACAGAACTAGAGGAGGACAAACTGCTCAGGACCCTGAGCAAAAGGGCTGCTCAGTTTTGGCTCTTCTCCCCTTTACACTCCTTCCAAGAAACTTCAGGAGGGGCAAAAGATTAAAGCTGGGGATTGAATCTCTGAGGGGCAGTAGGTGGCCACGGCCTCACTGGAATGGCATGGAAAGGCTCCCCAGTTCCTTCACTTGGGCAAGCTTCCTGGTGATGAGAACGCGGGCGCTTGCTTCAGGAGTCACCGGTGAGAGCACAGCGGAGTGTCACCAGCAGGACATGAGGCAGAATCCTACCAGGCCAAGGGTGTCCTGCGCCGTGATCGCCAGGCCTCCTTCTTGGAATTTCACAGGAGGATTAGAGATGCTCTGAGCTCATTGCTTGCTTCCCATGTTCTCCCGCTGATGCTTTCATCTTTTTTCTCAGCACCACAAACACAACAGTGCTTGTGAGCAAATCCGAGGAGGGTTGCTCTTGTTTCCATCTTCCTGGATGTGAGCATCCTACACCCAGCTGCTGGGGCAGGATTAGGCCAGGCATGGGATGCTGGCACGGGGGCTCTTCTTCAGCGGCCTTGCCCGCGGTGACCTCTTGCCTTGCCTCACCTTTCTCTTTTCCCAGGGTGTTGAACCCCTCTCCCTTGCGGAGAAGGTCGCCCCATAGGAGGCCATGAAGCTAGGCCAGCTGGGTGCCAGGATCTCTGCGCTGCCCCTCGAAAGAGCCATTCTTGGAGGAAGGGAAGGGGGCACCAGGCGAGGGCAACTTGGTCCCGGCCAAGTGGCTGTCCCAGGGGCCTTTGGGGTGAGGGCAAAGGAGGCCCAGCTCCAAGCTCTGGATGGCTCAGCTTTGACCGACCATCCTGGCCTGCAGGTGCCCAGCTGGATGCTTGTCTTGCTGGGAGGTGCTCACACCGTTCATGACTTTAGGGGGTCACGGCACCTGCTCAGTGTGTCTTTCGGTATGCAGACTTATTTTATCTCCTGTAGTGCAAACTCTTTCTTGCAACTGAACCAGTTTTTAATCTTAATCTTAGAATAAAAGTGACTAATCAATCATTTGGAGGGAGGGGGGCATCTGTTAAACGCTTGGCTGCCGTCCCCATTTTCTTTCTGCATTTCTCCACAGGATTGCTTTGGGAGAAGCATGTAGCTTTTCAGTAGGCATTTGAATCAGGACATCAGCTAGCTGGGGGATCTAATCTGGTCCAGTGGGGAAAGTGGCTAGAGACGGCCTTGCACTTGTTTTTTAGAGCTTGGACCTGCATTACACGCACACACACGCACACACACACTGTTGCAAAAATGGCGTTCAGAAGCTCCGCCTCCAAATGCTAGGAGAGAACGTGGGGAGATGCTCCCATTGGAGAAAGTGCAGGACACCCAGGGGTGGCAGCCCTTTGCGCAGCGGAGGAGAGAGCAAACAAGCCCTTGCAAGGCGAATGCTGGAGACGCCGAGGGAGGGGACGGGGCTTCCTTTGGGGCTCCAGTCTCCTCAGACCCTGAAATCACCTCCACTACAGAGACGGGCCGCGTTGGCTCAGCTGTTCTGGCCCTTCGGCCCTCCCCTCCCTGACTGGCAGGTTTAGGCGTCCCACTCCTTGAGAGCAGGAGCTCCTCTGCCTCCCACCCGGCCCAGATCTCCATCGGGAAGTGAGCCGTATCAAGACTGTCCTCTCTGGAGGGCTGAACAGAGAAGTCCAGGAACAGTTTCTTCCACCTCTGCCATCAGCTTGAGCTTCCTCTTCCTTTCCTTCCTGGGGGCGGTCATTGGACACTGAGCCTGAAAATGCCCCCTCCCGGTGTGGAGACGTGCTGCGAGGAGGCTGGCCTTTGCCTTCCCAACTCCGGTTCTGCTTTTTGCCCCAGTGGGGGCTCCTCCCCTGGAGGCTCCAGGCCCCTCCATGCTACCCCGGCCCGTCATGGCGGGTGGGACAGGTACGGGTCTGTCTGCTGCCCACCTTCCTTCCTCAGAGCCAATAGGCAACTTGAGAAAATAAATGCTTGAAGGGCAGGCAGGGGCTGTTGGGTTTACAATGATTGTTAGCTAACGTGGCCTGTTCTGCTCCACGTTGTTCCTCCTGTTTCATTAGAATAAGGGGGAACCTGGTGTGCCTTTTCTTCATTTTGTACCACTTGGCTTCTTACAGGAAGTTTACCCAAACCCGTTTACATCTGGAGATGGAGAACCCGGTGCGTATGGCTTCTTCCTTTCGGGTGGAGGGATGCTGGCTGGCAATCTGCAGGAGCTCCTCCCCATTTGTCTCCCCCAGGTCTTTGAGGGCTGAAATCCTGGGCACTGCCCTCCCTCCACCTGCCTTTCCTTCCTAAGAAAGTGATATTGATGGGTTAGAGAAGTAGCTTGGAAACAACAATGGAAATACATTAGGTTATAAATATAAAGTTCTTTACTGAGGAAAAAGAAGTCAGATGCATTATGGCTTGGTAAAGTAAGCGCAAAAAGAATCTAGAATTGTAACTGATCATGACCTGATCATGACCTGGAAGTAGAAGTGCATGGTAGTTGTCAGAACATGGAAAATCATAATTTTACTCCGCTCTCCACTGACTAACTGTGGCCAGTTCTGGGCATCGGAGTTTTGAGAAGGATTCAGAGAAACTGGAGGGGCTTCTGTGAAGGACAATATGATGAACAGGCAACTAAGAAATGTGATAGGAGAACAGATTGGGAGAACCAGTGTAACGTTAGGGTGAAGGTGTCGGAGTGGGAGTGGGGAGAGCAGGTTCGAGTCCATCCTCAGCTGTGGAAACTCACTCAGTGGCTCTCTCTGCCCAACCTACCTTGTAAGGACATTGTAGGAGAATTTGGGGAAGGGAATGCTACTTACACCCCTTGAGCTGAAGAAATCAGACATAAATCTAATGGATGGTCAGATAGATGGGTTGATAGAGCCCTGAGAAAAGATTACTGAAGAGAGGATGACAGCACTCAAGTACTGCAGCTGGAAAGTCAAGATGTCCGTCTCATGCCAGAGGGCAGGATTAATGGATTTAAGTGACAGGAAGGCTGATTCTTTCTCAAGAGCACTTGATAGCTGTGGCCTCTCTTCATCTTCCCTCTGAGGTGCTTTAATTTGGATGCCAGCTGGGCAAGGGGATGACTAAGTGGGTTTAAATATCTCGGTCACATGAAATCTTCACACTCTACTGCGTTGGATCTCTGGCTATATTAAAAGCATCCTTTTCTTTCTTTATTAATTTATGAAGCCCATCATGACTTGGGCTATTTTTATGGCTCAAGTTATGTAGCCGCTCCAAATGGAAGTCGGACCCCAGGACTGTCACGAACCCACGATGGGCTTTTGGTGGCAGAGATGGATCTAAATCTTTGCAGACAAGTTAGCGATAAATGGAATTTTAAGGTAAGTATTTTTTCCATCTTTCTAAACTGTTCAATGTGTATTTCTGATCTGGGAGTTTTGAAGTCTGCTGGCTTCTATTTTCCTGAATATAATCTTTTATATATGTGTTCTGGAGAAACACATCTGTTCTGGGAAGGTTAACATTTTGCAGGATCTGCAAAATACGGTATCACCAACAATTGGAAAATAATACATTACTCTTTCTCGCTAAGGGAACCAGACTGTTACAGGATGTGTGTTGTCTAGATTGGGGAAATACATTCATTGTCGTCATCATTTTGAAATGTTGTAAAACCTTCCTTTTGAAAAAATAATTCACTGAATAATAGTTGTGAATAATTCCATCACAATAACCCCAGCAAGTCATATTTCTCACTCCCTAAAGAATCATCTAAGAAGATGGAGATATTTTCAAGTACTGCCCACCATATTACTTATTTAAGAACAGTGCAGATGAACAGAACCTCCAGACTATCTCCACATTGCTAGTGTTGAACTCGAGGGGGGAAAATGTGCATCTAATTCAAGGGATTAGATGCACAGCTTATGCGGCTACTGGATCGATCACTGTAATTAGAGCCTTGAGCAGCTTCTGTAGCCCAGAATAACCTACCAGTTTCAGCTTTAGGGGTGAGCTGCTTAGCTGGTAGTGGTTCATCCTCCTGTGGCCATCATGCATTACTATCACTCATTATCTTTGAAGAAGGTCCAGAACCTTCACCAGATACAAAATACAGTGGGGCAAAAAAGTATTTAGTCAGCCACCAATTGTGCAAGTTCTCCCACTTAACGTTTTGGTCTAAACTCAACTTGTCGTGTTTGGAGGAGAGAGAATGCTGAGTTTTTTGGTCTAAACTCAACTTGTCGTGTTTGGAGGAGAGAGAATGCTGAGTTTTTTGGTCTAAACTCAACTTGTCGTGTTTGGAGGAGAGAGAATGCTGAGTTTTTTGGTCTAAACTCAACTTGTCGTGTTTGGAGGAGAGAGAATGCTGAGTTTTTTGGTCTAAACTCAACTTGTCGTGTTTGGAGGAGAGAGAATGCTGAGTTTTTTGGTCTAAACTCAACTTGTCGTGTTTGGAGGAGAGAGAATGCTGAGTTTTTTGGTCTAAACTCAACTTGTCGTGTTTGGAGGAGAGAGAATGCTGAGTTTTTTGGTCTAAACTCAACTTGTCGTGTTTGGAGGAGAGAGAATGCTGAGTTTTTTGGTCTAAACTCAACTTGTCGTGTTTGGAGGAGAGAGAATGCTGAGTTTTTTGGTCTAAACTCAACTTGTCGTGTTTGGAGGAGAGAGAATGCTGAGTTTTTTGGTCTAAACTCAACTTGTCGTGTTTGGAGGAGAGAGAATGCTGAGTTTTTTGGTCTAAACTCAACTTGTCGTGTTTGGAGGAGAGAGAATGCTGAGTTTTTTGGTCTAAACTCAACTTGTCGTGTTTGGAGGAGAGAGAATGCTGAGTTTTTTCCCCCCCATTTTGTCTCTCATAGTTGAGGTATACCTATGATGGACATTACAGGCCTCTCTCATCTTTTTAAGTGGGAGAACTTGCACAATTGGTGGCTGACTAAATACTTTTTTGCCCCACTGTGTCTGTGAGGGTTCCATGAATTACAACCAGGTCTTGCTTATCTGCCAGCTCAAGTTCATTGTGACTGGAAACAATTTGGAGTCCAGAGCAAGTAAGAGGGCTTGGCAGGATACAGCTCCTCCCATATCAACCTCCTATTCTGCAAGGTAAGGATCTCAGGGTGACCAACTTTGCAGTAAGTGGTCTGGGGGCCTGTGCCTCTCTCAGATCTCTGCTTCTTCACCTCTGTTGACGGAAGATTCCATGGGCCAAATGGATCGATTGTTAGGGATGACCTTTGCCCCCCAGGATTTAGCTGCTGATATAGGTTCCATTTCCCCCAAAGGTTTAGTTGGGTCACCAGTTGAGGTCCCTGATGCCAGTGGAGTCCTGCAGGTTCATGATTTAATCTCTGTCCTCTCCTAGAACATGACTGGCTGAAAAGTAAAGACCTGGAGGCTTCCTTCCTGGATTACATTACTGCTTCTGACATTCTCCTCTTCCAAGAACTGTTTATATCTGGATATGTCCCCTATATACTTAGAGTGATCCCGTGTAAAAAATGGGAGACCCTGTGGAGGGTGGAGTATAATGGTTTCCACACCTTCAGTGTTCCCATGACGACGCTGGAGCCGTGTGCCAGTGTGGCCCCACCAGGAGCTATTGCAAAGGAGCTTTGGGAGGGGTGGGAGCTAATCATGAGACACCAGAAAGCACCGATTTACCAAAACACTGCCCACCTTGCTCCAGAGCATGCTCCCGCCCCCCCGATGGTTTTAGTCTTGGCCCTGGCCTGCAGCCAGCCATCTTGTAGGGTCTTCATATTTAAGCACCATTACAAGGGACCCTGCAGAGTGGGGATAAGGCTTTCTCTGACTAGTACTTTTCATGTCATATTCTGGGGACAGCTTATTCGCCGCTCTATATTTCTGTGGTTTATTGCATCTTGAGCATGCTGTTGTTTTGCTCAGATATATAATGGTGGGAGTAATTTATTTTATGAAGCATTTGGTAAATTAATCCTGGAAATTAATCCTTGTTATAGGATACTAACATTAATTGCTTAAGAAACAGAGTAGCCATTAGACCTGAAGCACCATTTTAAAAGGAGGTGTTTTGCAGCAACAGCTAGTGCATGAAAATAGCAGTTTGTTTTTTTCCCCTTTCCAGATGACTGGAAGGTACAAGATGTATGCCGAGGAACTTGCTGCATTTGTCCAGCCCAACTTCGTGCCCAGTGTTATCAGAGAGTAACTTCTCTACTCATAGAAAGGAGGAGGAATCTCTCAAGACGTGTCCATCTTTACAGGAATGGAGAATTCTTCTTTAGATGGGCCCTGCGGCCCTCTGGCTTTTTTGAACCTGTCACTCCCTGACCGGTCTCCTGTATTAAAAGCTGCCCTTGATAACTCCTCAGTTGCAAAAGTGGTTTTGTAAATGGGGCATGGAGACAAACATCTAAAACCTCCCACAATAAATGGAATTATTTGGTCATGTCCTGTTCTAAAAATGATTATAACTGCCTTAGACCAAGGGTGAGATATAAACAAGACAAGTACTTAGTACAGAAAGGCCAATATGATTTACTAGGTATGACGACGATCTGGCAGGACGATGCCCACAAGGAAGAGAGCAGGAAGACACGTCTCGGCCCCGAGTCCTCGGCTCCTCCATGGTTATTGGAGACTTGGAGGAACAGCAGAGTAGTAACGTGTACGTGGGTGGAAGGGTGGATGCCCAGAAGATAGAAATAAGTTTCAATATTTGATAATGTTACAGAAGTAGACTGAAAGTTCAATAATTAAATTTAACAAATGCAGAATTTTTCACTGAGGAAATAAACATTAAAGGCATAAGATGGGGAATTATCGATGAAATGTATATGCCTCCCAACTCCCAGCAACTCTGGGTGGTTTACAAATTGTTTAAAACAATTACAAAATGTTTTAATGTTTTTGTTTAAGAACAAAAGGGTAAAGATGGCAAGATGACAGAACCAGATAGGAGCCAAGGAAGTCAACCCACGTGGTCTAAAGTGGGCTTCAGTCCAGAAGCCTCACTTGGTCCAAGAAGGAAAGAAAAATGAAAGCTAAAAGGGAGGCAGAGGAACTTGAACCATAGAAACCATAGAAAAGTAGTTTCCTACGCAGATGATGTTTTATTTTATTTGGTATTAATACCAAACTGCACCTCAAGTCTTGTGTTCAGTTCTTTGCACAGTATTTAAGGATTCGGAGAAACTCAAGGCGCGTCCCAAAGGGTAGCGAAGATGATTGGGGGAAAGATGCTATGGAGACAGACAATGTTGCTGGGCGCGTTCTTAGGTCAGACAAGTGACCGACAGCACTGGTCAACTACCCGAGAGGGAATCGCACAGGTCAAGATAGTTCTCTCTCATTTCGGAATACAAGTCATGGAATAGCAGGACCCTCCTAACTGCAGGAGGGCTTGGTGGGCTATGTCCAAGTGAGGACCAGATAGCATCTGTCTGGGGGTGGGGGACTTTCATCTGGCTTTCTGTGTGGAGCAGCAGGCTGACCCCCAAGGCCTCGTTGGGCCCCTCCAAGCCCAGCCTTTTTACTGGTTGCCAACTGCCGGGTTCCCCTGCTCCCCCTCCCTCTCCCACCAAAGAGGGGAGGCCTTTCCAAGGCAGGCAGCTGCCCTTCAGGTTGGGAGAGCAAAGCCCTCCGTGGGATCTCTCAGGACAGCCACCTGTCTTGACTGAGGAACAAGCAAGATGCAAAGACCCTCTTCCTGCACTCCCAGCGCTGTGAAGGATGATGGGCTGCCTGGAAAGGTGGGTGGGCTCTATCTGGTGGGTTGGAAGTCTCCCTTTCCTGGCTTCCATTTTTCACTGTCAAGCACAACCCTGCTTTCCATTCAGGCAGAGGCCAATGGTGGGCCCCGATTGTGCTCCATCAGCTCCGAGCCTCCAAAGTTGCTTTCCTGCATTACGCAGAAGGGCTGGACATGCCGTCTGTAGCCGCTTTGCAGCGGCTGGCAATTTGTACCATCTCTTTCCTGGCTGTTGGGGAGTGAAACGATCTCTCCTGCTTCTCCCTAAAGGAATCAAATTTTAAATTGCATTATCATCGAAACATGGATTTTCCTTCCATCCTCTGGAGAGCATCCAATAGGTTGATAGAGTAGCATAAATATCTGACAAAATAGGTGAATGTTGTCTTATTTAGCCACCTCACTCCTGTTCCACCTAAAAAAAAAAACTAAACACATTCAACAAAGCAGGCTTTATTGAGTGACTTACAAATATACCTTTTGTGTATAAAATGTATTCTGTGGATTTGCTTCCCTTTTACTGTCATGTGTGTGACATTTCCATAAACATTTACCAGTTCAGAGCATCCTCGTGAGCAGAAAGGGAACCAGGGCCTTGTTTCAACTTCCCCAAAGCTCCTGCCCTGGGCAAGAAGAGGACCTCCTCCTGCTCCTTTCTGAGCGCCCAGCAGCTCAGCCACAAGGACCGTTGCCCTCTCGGTTGGAAGGGAGAACCTGGTGTCTGCTGCTTTCTTCTTGAAAGGTTCTGTACAACAACTGGGGAGCATCGCTCACTGACCTTTAAGAAGACTGGCAAGGTCAGGGTGCCAGGGGGGTGCCAGAAACAGACAGCCAACCTCAGCCTTGTTATTTCTTCCTGCGTCAAGATGGTGTCTTGTAACCAAGCAATCCTTCAAACGGGCAGGGATGCATCTTCACAACGGTTAATATGCGTCTGCTTATGAAAGCAAAGTGGCCACGCTTCAGCTGTTTTGTTCAGGGGGAGCATCTGGAAAAGCAGCACCCTTAATCTTGACCCTAGAAGATTAGGCAGCAGGGACGTGACCCTACTATTTACAGAACTAATACTACTAGCAGGCAAGATGGAAAGAGTGCTGAAGTCTCCACTCTACCATTGCAAAACTCTTTTGAAAGCTGGAATCCTTCTTGCACAAGAACTGCAGTCTGAAGTGAACCAAGCAGTCTGGATGTGGACAAAAAAGGCCACATTTGTTAAAATGTCCCACTTGTGCACTAGCAGATGACATCGGCTCCTCCCCTGACTCTCTTTCCTTGGGCTACAATTAGGAAGCAGCAGCTTCTCTCAGGTAATTTCAAAGACGCTCCCCAGAATTCTCTGCCATTAACGGGTACTTATAATATTTTAAATTGACCACAGAGTGGACATACAGCACGGAGAGTTATTTCAAGCCATCAGGGAACCCTCCCCCAGCTGAGAGCAGAGACAAAAGTGGCGCGATGAGGTAGAAACCCTGGCCTCCAAGAGGAGCAGGGTTCTTCTCCCCCCGTTCCAGGTGGGCAACACTGAGGGGCTGGGACCCCGCTGCTGATTTGCAGACCAAGGGAAGTTCCCTCCCTGACTGCAGGACGCTTCTGCCCTTTCTCCTGAACTCTTTCAGCCTACTCTCTCGGGATCAAAATGGACTGCGTTTGGACTTGCTGCGGCCACTTTAAAAATGGCAGAGCAAGCTTGAGGGCTCCAGAGGGGCGACCGATGGTCACTGGACAGCTAATATGAGGAAAGGGGTGGGAAACAGGGTCCACAGGTCCTCTTAGGTGGCAGAGGCTAAGGACTAGTAGAAGTGCGACTCCTTAAATTAAACATGCTCAGGTTGCAATCTCACCCTGGCTTAGCTAGGACGAAGCCCCTTCTGGATTTAGTGAAACTTACTTCTGGGCAAACACGAGCGTATTGTTGAGCTCACTCAGGAAAAGGCTGATGAACCAGCACCACTGAATTACCACCAGGATACAGCTGTTGTCTGTGAAATACTCATTTTTTAAGGAAGAAATTAAACACAATCAGGATTGGCAGCCTTTCACGAATAATCACAGAATGACATCAATTAAGTGAATGTTATTCAAAATGATAGACAAAGTGCCAACTCATACAATGTGAAGTCTGTAGTCACAGTGCAAGGATTTAAGTCAGTACCAGTCCTGTGAGGAAACATTTTCCAAACGCCCTCCCGGTCTTCTACCAGCATTGCAAAACTTCTGTCACACCTGAAGAGTTCCTGTCAATGGGAATGCTTTCAGAAGAAGCCATTTACTGTGAGGAAGGCGTTATTGGGTGGGTGCTTATGGGAATGGCCCCATTTGAACTCTGCTTTATAAAACACTGATTTCTTCTTTTCCTTTCTGCCTCCCCCCTTGATTACTTAATTTATTTGCTTGATTTTTATCAGAAGATTCAAAAACTTGATGAGCGATAAATTAGAAAAGAGGAATTGCTCTCACACCATTTTGTTTTGCAATTCATTTTCATGAAGCTGGATTGTCTTTGAGTTTTATTCCTTTTGCTTCTCAAAACTTTTCAAGTATGCAAAATGTAAAAATGCACGCATTAGCTTTTTCTGAGGGCAACAGCCTGGCTCTAAAGCAGGAAAAGAGCTTGCTGGAGCAGATAAAAAGAACCAAGTCGAGTCAAGAGGGAATCCCAAATAATGGCTTGGGTGGGAGGATGAATGCATGCTTAGAATTAAGCAACCAAACTGGATTTGGTCATAGCATCAGAACAGAGTTCAGTCTTTTTAATTTTGTTTCAGCTTCCATTCTTATTTAGGGAGCGGGGATAGGCAAGATTTTTATTTGGGGCCAGAGTCAGAACCCCTGGGCAAAATCACCTGGGGTCCATCGGCAGACCCCAACTGAAAAACGTGTTTCATTATTTGTTACTGTAATGGACATCCTGCTTCAGGAACACATAAAGTATGTTCTTCTGTCCCCTGGAGTCTAACGCATCCTTTGCTTGCAACCTGCTGCAGTCCGGGAGCGAATGTCTCTGAGTCCTGAGATGGCTGCCACGATGGCAGAGAACTGGCTGCCAGCGATGAACTGGGAGCACCGAGCCAGAGGGTCAGCTATTCTGGTAAACAAACAGGATGTCCTCATCTGTGCCGTAACTTGTCCTGGCTTCCTCAAAGTTATGGATGCTGGTGCTGCACGTTCCTGTGGAGCAGGACCAAAGTGATCTCCGTCAGAGACGGGCAGTGGAAAGGGACCTGGCAGCCCAGCCCCTCACACCATGAGCGAGCGAGTGGCAGTCAGGCCTACTATGCACAGCCCACCTGGCAGGAGGCCCACTTCATGTACCTGACTCGGCTGGCCCTACCAAATTGCCGGAGAAAAGAAGAGCCCCAAAGACCTACACTGCAGAGGGGGAGCTGGTGGCTGACTTCTAGGAAAGGGTGCAGTTACTCACGGTCCGCATAGGCAGGATTGTTGTAATAAATACAGCCCGAAGCTTTATTGTAGCCACACAAGACGATGAAGTGGCCCTGGTAGTCGGGACTTCTGCAGAAGCACTTCTGACCGATTGGGAGAAAGCAACAGTATTTCACAGGGCTGGAGCAAAGGTCGCACAGCAGCAAGACGGCATTCACCAGCACAATGGCAATGTGGCCCTGGGAGAGGTGCTCCTGGATGTCCTGGATGGTTACTGTGCTGCAGAAGAAGCGAAGAAGAAGCCAAGGGTACAAGGTGGTCTCCCATTCCAGGAGCCTTGAGGAACAGAAGAGCCTTTTTGGGTGAGTGGGACATGAGCTGAAGGACGGCCCCAGGGGCACACAGGCTACTTTGGACCGACAACATCTATTTCAGGGATATTATATGCCCCAATGTGTAAAACTGGCTCTTACATCAGAAGCACCTGTCAGTATAATCTTCCTGACCTAAAAGGGATGTTTCTGTTTTTTCTTAAAAAAGAAAAAGTAATACAACAATCAAAACACTGTTTGTTTATATATATAAACAAA